TCAGGAGGGAAAGTGCTGATAAAATTACTGGATTTGATATTTGTCTCCTATGTTTTAAATATCAGTTCCCTAGGTTTATAAGTTGTATGGCCTGGCAATAGTCTCTGTACCACTTTTCCTCAGTACAGCAGCCTCCAGTACCTATTCATGTGATATTTCTGTGGATTCAGTGGTTATAAATTAGCCAGTTTGGAAAACAGAACTGAGATTAAATCAATCGCAAGCCAGCCAAGATAGCCATAATAAAATTAAAATACACAACACATATGATTTCTTAACCAGCTCACAGTCAATTACTTTGGCATTTGTTTTGAAAGACACCAGCTACTGCTGAATACCTGGTTGAGGCAGATTGTCTCTTCAGAAAGTCAGGTCCAAGTTTTCTGCAACAAGAGACAAATAATTAGTAATCCAGTTTTCCTTGATGGGAAGCACTGTAACACCATGGTCTTAATTTTCATCCCCTTAGAAGTAGATCCTGAGACAAAAATTTGAGTGAAAGTAGCTCATTTGGCAGTTCATCCTAGGAACCACCAATGGGAAGGTAGAGAAATGAGAAAGGGGCTGCACACCTGGGACTTCATCAGGTGGCAACAAGTGAGAGACCATGGGACACAGCTCAGAGTTGGCCCACCAGAGGGTGAGAAGGGCAGAGTACTTGTGCGCCATCTCCCATCCATTATTGTTGGAAGGCTTTCCTGGAGCCTTAGCTCCCTGGTACTTCTGGTCAACCCCTTGTGTAGGCTGAGCCACAGATATACCTAGAAAAGGCCCACATGCAAAAAGTGACAGCTATTTGCAGCAAGAAGCCATCTGTGAACAGGGAAATGACATGGGCTGAAGGCATGTGGATGGATGGCAACAACACTGGCTGTACATTTAACTCAATTAGTGGAGCATTCATGCAAGAGCATCAATTCTTAGACACAAGTGTTAGGCATGTAGTGAAAGCACTGTTTAATTGTTTAAGTAGAAATTAGTTAAGGAAAGAATAGTAACTTGCTTTAAAAATTGAAAAACACTATAGGAATAAGGCTATTCTTTTATTCTCTTATGACTTAGACTATGTACAACCTGTGGCCTAAGTCAAATGATTAAAGGAATTAATTTTTTGAGTTAAGAAAGTCACCCTAGGTCTTCACATGCAGCAGGAGTCCTCCTGGTTAGCTTCAGCAGAAGAATGTGCTAACAGTGGGACACATAGGATGTCAAGGGGTTATTTCAGTGGAAAAGGACACAGTAAAAATATACAGATAAAAGGCCAGGCACGGTGGCTCATGCCTGTAATCCCAGCCCTTTGGGAGGCCAAGGTGGGGGGAATCACTTGAGGTCAGGATATCAGAACCAGCCTAGCCAACATGGTAAACTCTGTCACTACTACAAAAATACAAAAAATTAGCTGGATATGGTGGTGCCTGCCTATAGTCCCAACTACTAAGGAGGCTGATTCAGGAGAATTGCTTGAACCCGAACCCGGGAGGTGGAGATTGCAGTAAGCTGAGATCAAGACACTGCACTCCAGCCTGGGCAACACTGTCAAAAAAAAAAAAGATACTGATATAATATTTTATTTCTTTTAAATTTAGTGAAAGAAAGAAATACCAAGTGGAAACTAAAGAAATTGCTAAACTTTAAACAACTCTATATTATATTAGTTTCTAAAACAGTCCCCAAAGTTTAAGAAGATGGATTATAAAATCTAATAAGGGATTGGCATTTTTGGAGTTTATTAACTAAATCATTCAACTTGAGATCATATAAATCATCTTTTCTCTTTGACAGATAAGGTCGTTAGCATGATGTCATTTTCCTTACCTACCTCCTGATTTTTGTTAGTTATATTTTATGCTCTCACAATATAACAATTTACATACTTCTTTTTGGCCATAATTTTCACAATCATATATTATTCACCTTAATATTTAGGTGAAGACACTGTTCTTCACTAGTCCTTTTGTTTCAGCCTCTCCATTCCTAAAGTTTTTATTTATATTCATTTTTTAGTTGGCTGAAATTCATGGTCAGGCAGATTTTTCACAGAGAGATCTTGAGTACTAGTAATGCTTAAGTTTTTTTTTTTGTTTATTGGTTCTTTTAATGTTTGCCTTTATTCTTAGGTGACATCTTGGCTGGGAATAATAACCCTCCCTCATACTTTCCTTTCTTCAGTGCTCCTATATAGCTTTATCTCCCTTATGTTACAGTATTGAATGTTGCTATGAAGTAATCTGATGCCAGCATGAAAATTTGCCTTTGTAAAAGACTTGCTCTCAGTCCAGAACTTAATTAGTTTTCTTTTATTCTGGAAGTATTGCTGTTGAGCATTTTGTATCTATTTTCCTAGAATATGATGTGGGTATTTATTTTCTTTCTTTCCTTCCTTCCCTCCCTCCCTCCCTCCCTCCCTCCCTCCCTCCCTCCCTCCTTCCTTCCTTCCTTCCTTCCTTCCTTCCTTCCTTCCTTCCTTCCTTCCTTCCTTCCTCCTTTTCTTCCATTTTCTTAATTTCTGTAAGGCAAAATTGCCCCTTTATTTTTATTTTATTTTTTTTATCTTCGAGATGGGGTTTCACTCTTGTTGCCCAGGCTGGAGTGCAATGATGCTATCTTGGCTCACTGCAACCTCTGCCTCCCTAGTTCAAGAGATTTTCCTGCCTCAGCCTCCCAAGAAGCTGGGATTTACAGGCATGCACCACCACGCCTGGCTAATTTTGTATTTTTAGTAGAGATGGGGTTTCTCCATGTTGGTCAGGCTGGTCTCCAACTTCCAACCTCAGGTGATTCGCACGCCTCAGCCTCCCAAAGTGCTGGGATAACAAGTGTGAGCCACCGCGCCCAGTCAAAGTTGCCACTTTCATCTGAGAGGAATCTCATCTCCTGTCTCACCTGTTTCTTCCCAACAGCCATTTCCACTACCCTGTAGCCAGAAGACAAAGTACAAAGTCACCCACTTCATTTTTTTCACACCTAGCTCAAGATTTTGTGCACTTACTAATACAGTTTCTGAGGAATGGAGGAAAGATTGGTAGACTTCTCATACCCTACTGTGGTCTTTTACTTTCTTCCCTCGGAAATTTCTTATTTCTTTCCTTAGTTTTAGTTGAATGGCATTGAATTTTTTCTATTAAATATTTTAACTGACTCTTTACTACTTTTGTTAAATTTCTTACTCAGAAATGTTTTCTCTAAAGCGGTTGCATTCTTAACATCTTAACATTGATATCTCTAGAATGTATATTCTTAAAATCCCTAGAATTTATATTATTAAATTTTGTGTTCAGATGCTCACAGAGTTTAAGATGACTGAATTCATGTGTTTTTGTGAACAATAGTGCTCACTTTCTCCATCTAGGTTATATTTATCCTCCCTTAGTCTCAGTGTGACTTTATCTGCAAAGATCCTCCCTTAGTCTCAGTGTGACTTTATCTGCAAAAGAGAATAAGGTTTGTATTAGTCCATTCTCACACTGCTATAAAGAACTTCCAGAGACTGGATAATTTATAATGGAAAGAGGTTTAATTGACTCATGGTTCCGCATTGCTGGGGATGCCTCAGGAAACCTACAGTCATGGTGGAAAGCAAAGAAGAAGTAGTCACCTTCTTCACAGAGCAGCAAGATGGAGCGAGTACAAGCAATGGAAATGCCAGACATTTATAAAACCATCAGATCTCAGGAGACTCATTCACATTCATGCGAACAGTATAGGTGAAACTGTCCCCATGACCTGATTACCTTCATCTGGTCCCACTTTGTCACGTAGGGATTATGGGGACTGAATTCAAGGTGAGATTTTTGGATGGGACACACTGAAAGATATCAAGATCTTTTCAGGCTACACCTTATTTGGAGGTTGTGGCAATGAGATAAATGAGGGAATGTACACTAATATCTTTTGCAAACTTTCACATACTCAAGAAAGATACTATAATTTCCACTTTCCTGTCTCTACATCTGTTTTGGTATTATAGAAGCTAAATTAGTTTCATATTTTTCACAGATTTTATTTTTTTGTTGTATTTTACTAGACTAAGCTATTACAGTGGATAAATTAAAGGTCCTTCTCTTTGCATCGTTTTATCACAGAAACCTTAAAACAGTTTTGAAAATGGCCAATAACTCATCTCCGAATGGCATAAATTCAATGACTATTTTTAAATGATAGATTCATTTCTTTGTAACCTGAAAGCCCACCATTTTTTAGCTAGGAAACCTAACTAGCTAAAAAAGAAATGAAGGGAACCAGTTAATCATTTTGCATCCATTTACAACACTGTTTGCACTGAACAGATGATTACAGCAAAGTAAAGTAACATGAAAGGATTTCTCTCTTTAGTTCCACCCTAGGGGCAGGCAACGCAAAAGATGACAGCTGAACACACAGAGATGGGAATCCTGTGTATGTAGTAAATCAGAAAAATAAAAGATACTAAGTAAACGTTCCCACTCATTTTGGAAACTAAAAGCTGTGATCTGGTTTATGATAATAAGCAAGTGGAAATCCACCTTAATCCTGTGTCAAACAAAGTTCTGTAGTCCCCTTGTAAAATCTAGTAACCTTTTCTTCATACTCAAAGATCTATAAGAGTTTATAGATCTTTAATTCATTTATTTTTTTGACTGAGCGTTCCTAGAATTTTGCCAACATGGCACCTACCTATTGAGAACAGGGGTTGCTGAACTTCCTTTTGTCCTTCCAACAACTCAGCCATATCTCTTCTCCTTGCTGTTTATTTTCCATCTCAAAGAACATGGCAGCCACTTACCTTTAATTCTCGAGATCAAAAGACCACTTCTTAGCTTACATCCCTTTCCATTCAAGCCTCAGGACCCAGCATCCTATGGCTGTCCTCAGGCAATAACAGAGAAGGGCCCATTAAAGAAACACTTCCCCTGGTCATGGTATCTAGGGGTTTGAAAACAGCCTTGGAAATACCATGGTGCCAAATAATGGTAAGATTCATGTTCAAAATGAGCCAAACAGCAGAGTCTAGAAAACTTTGCTTAAAATATTTCAAAGCTGTATATGTTTTATTTATAAATAACATTTAGATACAGAAGTCAATTAAGATGTTCCAGAAATTACCAATTTTTTAGCACAGACACACCAGAGAGGAAAAATAGCATGTTTATATTTTTCTGTCACCACGACAGCAAAAACAAGGGCTGGTTATACCCAGACATCTGAGTAGACATAGTACTAGATCACTTGCAAACTACACGCATTAGATTTATTTATTTTTTTTGTGTGTGGCACTCCTGAATAATTTCCCTGAATACCTTCATTCTCACTATGCTGTGCAATTATATCACATCAGTTGCATGACTTTTGGTCAACTTAAACTCATTCTTCACTTGGCATGAATTCTGCTAAAAGAAATACTTATGAGTAAACAATCTTTAAGTTGTAAGCTCTTCTGCTTCATTCTCCATCCATGTTCCCTGTGAATTTATTTCAACTGTGCTCTTTGGGAGATAGCATAACAAAGCTGATAAGATATTTTTTTCATTCATTATCAATTATCCAAATATTTATTCTTGAAACTGTAGTGTTTTGGAATTTTAGAAGTATATTTTAATATGTCATACTTTATGCCCTAATACTTTGCTTTAAAAAGAAATCAAATGTAGATATTGATACTCTGAAACCAGAGGGTTTTTAACCACGGTCAAATTCTTTCTCTGTCCCCAAGAGTACCAATTCAATAACTTTTGTGAAGCCCAGGAAATGGGACTCTAGATATTCCAGAAATATGCGCATTCTCCTCACAGAAGTGGAGCAGGGATTGACCCTGTTGCTGCACAGATGCCTTTATTACAAATGTACACACAGATCTCTGTCACTGCATTCACAACACTGCCGCTTTACTGTGCCCACTGTATTCTCATGTATTCCTGACCTGAATGATTTTCATAATCTCAAAAAAATAATTTTAATTTGTGGATGGGAAAAGTTAGTAAGGTCCTAATGCAGATACATAGTCTGGTGGCAAAACAGCATTTGTAAGGCCTCAGAATCCCTTCCAAGGATGCTGCATTCCATAGTCAGTCCCAAGTATAAGTCTCTCAAAGATAGGCAGCTGTTAAAGAAATACACAATTCTAGCCATTCTCCATGAAGCTTCTAAGGAATTGAGTTATTGGCAACTCACACATGTAGACTCACTTATTTTACTGAATCTTAAGATGAGAAAAGAAATCCATATTCCCAAAAGATTTCTACACAGAGCATAAACACCAATTATTAAATTATTCAGAGAATTGAGACTAAAAGACTGAGCTATTGAAAAGCCTAAATTCCTCCCTTTCTTAAAATAACATAAATATTAATATATGCCTTGGCATGATCCCAAGGGACTCAATCTTAGAATTTGCCTTTGCTTGACTTGATCTTAGACCTGAATCCACTTTATAAAAGCCTTCAATTTCACATTCGAAGGTAACTAAAACTCCATTCCCTCACCTTTCCGGCATGCCTTTTTAATATAAAGAACTCAGTAATGAACTCAGTATTTCAGCAAAAAGACAGCCTTTTAAATTCACAGAAGGAACACATAAAAGGCAAAAGCAAATAAATGAGATATAGAATTCTTTCTTTCAAATAAAAGAACTTTAAAAATCCATTGGCCTGCAAAACTACTTTTGCAATTACAGTGTCATATTTGGCCCCACTATGTTTCAGAGGCACTGCATAAATAGAACAGAATCATCTAATGCACTTTTTCAAAACAGTGCTTTTCAGCCAGGGGCTAGTGCGAATTCATTCTACATCTAGGTGCTGATGACACTTCGGTTTACTTTATTGGCAACATTTTGGTGATGCGTCCTGTACTAAGAGGAAGGCTAGAAACCGAGCACATGTCAAGAGCACATGCACCATGTTACTTCTTTTCGTGCTTCTTGGTTAACTCCCCAACACCCAGCTGGATGTGGTTCCGGCTATCGCTGATTCTCTCCTCCCTGTGCTGACTCTCCTGGGAGACTTGCCGCACGGCTTGCAGGATTGCATTCTGCACAATCTGTTTGCTGGCATTCTGCAGCTGCACCTCTTCAGGCTCATTTCCAGGTTTCTCACCTAGCCAAAAACATGAAAAGGAGGGGAAAAGGAGAGAAATTAATTTCAGGAATGTGAGAGGGAAGGGTAGGGGAAAAAGATAGGAGGGAAGAGTGAGACTGTAAGTCTCACTTACAGTCTGGAGTGGGCTGGTTCACTATGAGAAGCCCACTAGAGCACATACAGCTGGAGGGTTGGTTTCAGGATACCCTGTGGATACGAAAGTCCTTGATATAAAATGACCTAGTGTTTGCGTATAATCTACACACATTCTCCCATAAGTCATTTAAGTCATCTGTAGTTACTTTTAATACCTAATATAAAATAAATGTAATGTAAATAGTTGTTATACTGTATTTTTAAGATTGTATTATTTTTTACTGCTGTACTGCTATTTCTTTTCTTGGGTTTTTTTCCCCAATATTTTCCATCCACAGTTATCTGAATCCTAGGATCCTCAGCTTCTAGAGGGACAACTTTGGCCAATGAGGGCCTCTGGGAAAGTTTCTAGAAAAGAACAGACCCTTGACCTTTTGCACCTTCACCGCTTCCTTCAGGAAATGCAGATATAACACCTTCAAGTACTGCGTTCATCTTCCAGTAAGCATGAAGATGAAAGCCAACATTCTAGGTATGGCTGGGGAGAAAGAAGCAGCCCAGTTTTGAGGGCAACACTGAGCATCTGCACCAGCCCTGGGCCATGACTTCTGAGCTTTCATGTAATTAAATCCTTTCTGTTTAATCCAAATTTATTCAGGTTTTATGTTACTTGCAGCCAAATACATGCCTAGTATACATAACCTCACTGGGGCTGGAGAATAGATGATCACTGAATCCATATTGAGGTCAACTGTGCTTCTATAATAGCATCACAACTAGTGAAGCTATTAGAATCTGCCCCCTGTGATCTAGAGCAGGGCTTGGCAAACCTTTTTATCAGAACCTGCTTCCTGCGATCTAGAGCAGGGGCTGAGAAACTTTATTTTTAAAGAGCCAGCTAGAAGAGAGTCTAGGCTCATGGGCCATATTCTGGAACAACTACTCAACTCTGCTGTTGTAGCACGAAATCAGCAACAGATGAGTGCATATGGCTTTCTTCCAATAAAACTTTATTCACAAAAAAACAGGCCACAGGCCAGATTTGGCCCGTGGGCCAGTTTGTCAACCCCCAATCTGGAATAGTGGGAATTTTCTAATTAGAAGGCAAGGCAGTCTACCCAACACTGATTCTTTACTTTCTTTCTTAGTTAAAAACAAAGTCTTAATTTTATTTGAGTACTTATGTAACTAGGTATAGCTAAGTTCCGTGCTGGAAGTGGAAGTTCATTTAGTAAAAATTCTGGAAAAGGGACTTAGAAGGGTAAAGTCAGATAAAGGCCTTTTGCCCTCTCCCCATCCTATTGCCTGCAATTCTGGCCTGATAGTTATTACAAGGGCCAGAGCCATTAGAACCATTAGAATAGAAACCGTTTTCAGGGATTTCAGAAGAAAAAGAAAGAGCTTGGGATCCAATGACCAAGAAGCCACCATATCAGTTCCCAGATGCTCACCTCCAGGCCTGTTTTTATGTTAGAAAAAAATACATAGCTTGTTTAAGGCAACTGCTATTTTGTATTTTTTTTTAATTGTGCAGCAGACATAATACTAACTCATTCATGGTAGAATGATCATGAATCTAACATTTGGTTAAAGTGCAATCTGGAAAACCCAAAATCCCACCTATTTATATTTATACTGGTAAACAAAATGGGCATGGTTTCTTATTCAAAATCATCTTTTTGGATATTTCCTCAACACAAATATGCTCACTACCATGAAGATGTATTTAAAATTGGAGGGAAGACATTCACTGGGTTTGATTAATTAACAACAGAATCTACACACATATGAGGAAATACGGCAAAAGATAATACTGAGTAATTCTGGAACACCAGACAGTTCTTATCTATTTAGACATATAATCATCATTTATTGAGCATTTTTATCCATCCCTTGAGGGATTTACAATTTAGTGAATGAGGCAAGATAAACCTATTCAAAAAACAATATTTTAAAAAACAGGATAAAACGATCAATCTACACCAAACTGAGCAGAGGAGTCTGGAAGCATCACTTGCAGTAGACTGAAACTTTGAAGTGGCCAAGAAGAATAGAAATTTTCTACATGAAGAGTCACGAGGGCACAGCTATGAAGAACACGTGTTTTGGATCACTTCGGAGCTTTCAAGTCATTTCTGCCACTCGCATTCATGCAATCTTGGGCAAGATACTTCACCTTTGTAAGCTTGTTTGCACATCTGTAAAATGGGCAAGTGGCATTAATTTAGGATGGTTGGTGGAGAATTAACTGACATAAAGCATATTCAGCACTCAGTGTGGTCCCTAACACATAGGAAGCATTTGTAAGTGTCCACCACCATGTGTTAGTCAGGGAATAGACTAAGCTGTTTAACAGAGAAACAAAAATAGGACAGCTCACACAGAGACATTCATTGCTCTCTCGTTTAACAGTTCAGAGGTACTCCAGTGTGTAGATAGGTCCGCCGCACAGATTCCCTACGGACTCTAACTTCCTTACATCTTACTGCTCTGACTTTCTTACAATATTGCCCTCATTTCCCTGAGTGAAGATGGTTAACCAACATCTCATTGGATGACCCTCCTGATAAAAACTTACATCAATTTTCCTTCCAGAACCTAAGTGTCATTTCCTTCTATTACATTAGCTCTGTTATATTCCAGTGAGGCAGGTTTTGGAAAAGGTCAGTGTTCCATTTTGAGACAGAATCTGGTTAGCAATTTTTTTTCTAGAATGCACAGGCAGGGCAGCAGAGGTTGTATCAAGCTGGCATCTCTCTCATCTCTCCCAGAAGACTCACTAAATATACAAATTACGGAAGTCCCTATCAGGGCAAGACAGGACTCCAGCACCACTCCCTGAACACACTCTAATACACAGGGCTGTTGCTGGTAACCAGGGAGCAGATATTTTATCTCCCCTTCTGACTGCTTGAGACTGCAAAGACAGAATGATCATTTATCAGTGACGAGCATATGGAACACAGAGAACAAGAACTAATTCTGGGCCCTTTAATAATAGAATGATAGTTTTTTCTTCCAGCTCTGGAACTACAGGAATTTTCCATAAAGGACCAGATGTTAAATCTCACTCATCTACACCAACTGCAAATAAAGCAAACCCAGGAGCCCTGCTTTGCTACCAAGCAAGCTAAAGTCACATGAGTTTCCGGCAGTGAAAAGTCACAGCCCCTGAGATTCCAGCTTGCTGCTAGCCCCACTGAGCATGCTCTTCCACTACACACCACAACCAAATCAGAAGTATTTTAGTTAGGTTTGAGATGAAGAAAGCAGGACACCTATAAGAAGGCATAGGACACTTCTAAATCATATTTGAATGGTACTGCCTATTACCACCACCACCCTTATCAAATCAGATACAGGGAATTAAGAATCACCCCTGACTCTACCTCTAATGGCCAGCCACATTATTTCAGAATGTAGACATCTACTCTTAGAAATTATATGGAGTTCTTTATTAAAATGTCCTAGACAACAAGATGAGATAAATCAGAAAGATATTTATGGAGGACCTACATGCATGATACTATGGAAAGTAACATAGGCCACTAGGCCAATGTTTTGTTCATACATGCATTCATTCATAAAAGAATTATGGAGCATTTACTACATGACCAACACTAGGGTAGGTATTGGAGACTAAAACGTTGAGCAGAACAGTTATAGCCCCTGCCCTATGTAAGCTTACAATCTAGAAGGGTCAGATGTTAACCAGCTAATCAAATAGGTTTATAACTGGGAACTAGGACATGTGCTATGAAGGGAGCATGGGGAGCATACTGAAACCATCCCCACGGAGTTGACAGGAATTGAATGCCGGGCGCTGGACAGAAATATAGTTGTAATTAAGCATCAGTCAGGCTGCCCTCTGGCCCACTTCCTTGTTGCTGAAAGTCACTTAACACTAGATACTGCCAGTGTATCCCCATTGTTCCTATAGACAGGATAGCTGACATTACAAACATGAGGTTTTTGTTTAAGGATCACTTAAGAACTTTTACAGAATCCAAATTCTAGCAAAACAGCTGATGCCAACTCCCATAGAGGAACAGGATCAGTATGAGAATGCAACATCTTTATCCTCCTGTCCCGTGACTTCACCCTGCACTCTTGGACCAGTCAACTATCTCCACACACTTCAGTCCACTCCAAACCCTTAAAATCCATAGCCCCAAACCGGATTGGAGGCTTCCTCCCATCTCCTCATTGGCAACTCTAGGATTAAACCTGTTTCTCTGTTGCAACCCAGTGTCTCCATGTATTGACTTGACGTGTGCATCAGGAAATCAACCTGTTATGATTACAATACCACAAAGGAAACTGATCTAGTTTAGGGGTTAGAGAAAGATGCCAGACAGGGACTTAAGGATTAATGAACATTAACTGATAAAAGGAAGGTGCTGGGAGCAGGAAGGGAAGAACGCGCCAGGCAAAAAGATCCACCCCTGAATGGTGAATCCCTGATCTGTGTAACAAGAACAGGGCCAGAGAGGAGCTTAAGGCAGTCTGAGTGGCTGGTGCCTACCAGGAAGGGAGACAAGCAATGAGAAAGGAGTCCAGCCTGAGCAGCCCGGGTCCTGGGGAAGTATTGGGGCCTTTTTCTGAGAGTATCCTCATATCTGTGCCACTCAGCATAGCTACAGAAGTCTGAGGAGAGTTACATAATTAAGGCAAGAATATGCAAGATTTGGGGAAGGCCTCAAAACACAGACGGACTTTGGAAAGGCCAAGGGGAAAAGGAAGCAAATTTTTTCCCTGGCCTTGAAGGGCAGGGCAGACAAGTGACTGATGAACAGGGTCATGGAAAGCTTTTACTTGCAGGGCTGCTGAATTATTTTAGAACATAATTTAAATGATACAGTGTTACTGGATTGTAATTCCTTAGGGAAGCCGTAAAAATGGTGCCAGTAAAACTTGAAAAG